ACGGCGCATACATCGCCTCGTGCGAACATGGCCCGGAAGGTGCGCGTGAGGCTACTGCGCAGAGTCTTGTTTTGCTCGGCGGGACGAGGGGAATACGGAGGCGGACGCATGTTCACGGGGCATGGCGTGGTGCGCGTTCTAGTAAACAACTTGTGTGCGACTCATGCGGGGAATCTGCGTCCCGAGTAATCGTGATTTTTCTGCCGAACAAGCGCTATACGTCGGTTCAGAATGAATTGTACCGTACACGGATAAATCATTTGCCGTGTGTCTCGTGAACACGGCCTCATACGTGGAATATTAGTGCGGTTTAACCAAGTTTGTCGGTTTCTCTCTGAGAACTCGACCGCGGACCACCGCGTGTGTTCCTCTCTACGCGTATGTGTTTACGTGTGTAGTGACTGATACGCGTGTTTACATAGAACAAGTGTCGCCGGTGTTGACCGATTTCCAGTGTCATCAATCGACTTTCAATCGGCTTCGAGTTTCGACGTTTCGTCGGAGTCATTCTTCGTTTTTCTTCGTTCCACGTTGACACGGTAGGTGAATCTCGTGGAATTCGTTTGATAGAATAGCCACCGAATTCGATCTCGGTCACGGCGTCGTATCCATCGAACACCGTGCCTGTGATGTATTTTCGGAGTAGCGCCATGCTTGGCCACGACTATGTTCTGCGAACCGCGAAATCGAAAGACGCGTGTGAGTTAACGATATCAGTGTTTCACGATCGAATTTTCGCCAGATAGTTATCCGTTTCTCTTGTACAAATACGCGCCAATATTGCAAGACAATCGATTCGAGCATTCACTTTGAACGCCGCTTTCGATTCTCATTGATCGTCTGTTTAGCCGCTGTCAGTACCCTAGTCGGTCAGGCTCGCGCGCGCGTTTCTCTTTCACGTATTCGAATGCTTGGTAAACGGTCGTATGGAAAACGAAGGCGTAGAACGAAGGCGTAAAGGAAGTGCGCGATCGTTTACCTCTGACGTATGACATACGATCGATTATGGATATATCACGCGTCTCAAGTTTCCTCTAGACCGGATAAAGATCGATTCGGCGAAGTGGATTGTCGTAACGGATGGTTTCGCGGAGAACGCGTTAAGCCGATATCAATGGTCTCGCAGCTACTGCTACGACATGTGAAAATCGTATACGTGGTAGTTGGAGCGTGTTGCGTTCCCTCGTGGGGTGGTGAGTAGGGGAATCGGGGTGTAAAAATGGTTGGGAGAGGGACGGAGAAAAAAAGATAGAGATGCGTTAGAGAAATAGGTTGGGGAAAAAGACAAGGAAAGAAATAAAACAGTGGCGTGCGAATTGGTCGAAGAAATCGGGAGCGGTGGAGCACGCGATCGATGTCGGTGTCGATCGCCGTAGCCAGTTCCTCGGTAAAAGGTCCTCGGAACGTCAATAGGCAGAGCGGCGCAGCTATATCGCATTCCACGTTATTTCTCTCTTTAGTCACTGACCTCGCGACTGTTCGGCCAACCTCGTTTCGTCGCCACTCTCGCCTCCTTGTTTACCACTCTCGACCGATTCCGAGTCGACCTCCGCTCCGAAGCTTCCTCTCGGCTTCTGTCTGTCTCTCCTTCTGCTCCTATTTCTCTCGTAAACCGAACTTTTTAAAGGACTTGGCCCGACTACGATCTACAAAGGTGACGAAATATAATCGAAGATAAATATATACAAAATTAATCGTACAATATTTTTTAATATTCGTTAAATCGATGCAATTGTCATTAATGAGGTTTTTAGAACGCATGTCTAGTTTGCGCCAGCTGTTTGTTGCACGCTCGTAAAACTGTTTTAGATTCTCCTCTACAAAATGTACGAAGTCTAGCCAATGGGAAACGAGAAGCCAATGTACGTGTACATAAATTTGATATCGTGAAGTGAGAATATTAACAAAGTCGGTCTTCTCGATCGTTTTCACCGTAATTTATAAAAGGATAAAATAATCATTGACACGGTCTAAATGATTCTCGTAATTCGTTCATCGATCAACAATAACTTCAACAAATATTGACCAAACGTGTACCGTTTTTTTTTTTTTTTCACGAAAAACAATTTACTTCCTAAGGATCGAATCCGAGAACTCGATCGACTCGATGACAAAGAACGACGGATCCTTTTACGCACGATCGAAATACCCTGAAAAACCAACTTGGTCCGAAAGAGACGAAGACGACTATGTTTACATCTGGACGACCTTGGATGTACACAGGGTGATTGTAATCGAATAAACAGGCTTCTCGATACATGCCACGAACGCGGGAAAATATTCCCACTGTTGGACGATTAGCACGATTCTACAGTCGGTTCACGAGACAGTTGGTTGTGACATTTAAGGAAAGGGTCAGACACGTGGCGCGCGTTTTTCGAAACTATTCCCCGGACGTGTGTTCGTTCCCCTCGATTCCGAATGAATTAAACGAACCGTAAAGTATAAACGCACGAATTTTCGGCCTCTTTACCGCGACAACAAAATAGTCCGGTAAGTGCTCGGTAAGTAAAATTTGTATCGTCGTCAACGACTCGATCGGTTGCGTAACGTTGTTCACGTATCACGAGTTGTATTCGCGTACGCGTCGCAAACAAAATTTTTATTGCGTTAGTCGCTACCACCTCGTTCTTAACATTCTGCGCCGCAATCTCGCCTCCGACTCCATTTTCCCGGGCTTGCGTAAGAAAACGCAAACCCGACACGGGCTCCGCTCCATCTTACGTCGTAAATAACGATCCACCGATGCCTCTGATTGCTTCGTCACCGCGAAAGCGTCACAACGTGATCGTCAACGACGTTCTATTCACGTTATCCCTCTCTATAATCATTCTCTACCTATTTCCGTTTTCGGTTTCCACGATCAACATAGACGCACGTAAATATCTTATCGCGAGCACGCGCCTTTCCTCGAATCTAGCTTCGTCACTATTTTGTTACTATGTGTCGTACCTAGCGCCGGCGTCACGCGCATGTATTCGTGAATCTAGTCGATATAGCGATCAACGAGTAATATTCTTAAAAAAAACCTGCACTAAAATAAATTTTAAATCGCGAATTCACGTTCGCGTACACCTAATATCAAATTCAAATTTTCGTATCAGATTTTGATTTAATATAGTCTTGCATGGTATTTTCGATCGCTTTGAAATTCGCTTCGAAAGTTTTTTTTAAAAGCCGATCAATTGTCGCTTTTTCGCCGAAGCCATCCATGATTTTTTACGCGCTTGTATGTACATTTGCGTTAGAAGATATAATGGCTGTAGCAACTGTCGACATTCGTTGCGCAAGGAGTTCACATGGATAAAGATCGCCTTTTGTGACCAGTGTTTTCTCCTTGCTTGCGAACTTAACACGTTTGTATATCCCTATCCTTGCTTTTAGATCGCGTAGATTAATTTTGCGCTCGTTTACATTTCTATTTATTCAGAGATTGTCGATTAATTAATGATAAGTTAACGGTCAATGATCAAAAAAAAAAAAAAAAAAAAAAAATCATTGCGGCATTGTACTTTATCGATTTGTAAAGAGAAAGAGAAAGAGAAAAGGTATAAACGGAAGGTTATATTAAACTTTCATCGAAATTCTTCGATCTCCGCTTTAAAAGATTCATCATCGTTGGAAAATCCGGGCACAGTGTCTGACTTCCGCCGTCACGTCCGGCATCACCTTCGACGGTGCGAATTGATCGGTATTAATTAACCGAGAAGCGGTGCTAGCCGAGTTAAGGAGATCGAGCGACTGCCCCCTATCCGGCTTTCATTATCACGCGTGCAAGGGGCGTTAATTAATGCGAATACGTCGAATACGACCACGTATCGGCCGATTGTTCTTTTCTTGCCCTGGGGGTCGTTTCGAAGAGTTTTTTCAGTGGCGCGGAGCGTTCCAGCACGATCCCTATATCGAGTCGTGGCATGATCCACGAACGGAGTCGTGTTCAGAGATCCACTAATGCATATTAAATGGACAATGAAGAAAACTGGGACGATCTTGGGATCGAAGATTCGTGGAATGCGGAGGAGGACGAGGAATGGTCGCGAATGAAACAAAGAATAGGCGACGGGAGGGAAATGGAAAAGGAAAAGAAGAAGAAAAAGATGATGAAGAAGAAGAAGAAGAGGCGAATGGATTCAAAGAAGGAGACAAAGAAGGATAGAGAGAGAGAGAGAGAGAGAGAGAGGGAATGGACGCCCTTCCTTCCATCAATGCCGCTGCTCGACCACGTTAAGTATGCAAACTGTGGCTATGCAGAGGCGCTGCTAGTGCTGGTTTTACCTTCCACGAACTATATTTCATTCGGGCGTATGTGTGTAGCCCGCGCGATGGGAACACATCGCATTCCACGCGTGTACGCGCCTTGTCCCAAAACCGTTCACACGGTCAAATACACAAGGGCACCCACGTTCCTCTCTCGCTCGTGGACATCGTCTTTTCCTCCCTCGACACCCGACCCTCCGCCTTTTGTTGCACTTGTTGCAGATTTTGCCGCAGTTAATGCGAGACGCACGCCCCAACCTTTTTTCGATGTATCTATATACGCGTTGGATGGCACGCAATCGGAGGGACGAGAAATTTTTTCTTTTTTTTTTTTTTTTTCCCTCCTTGTTTTCTTTCTCTTTCAATCCGAACAGCGAGAACTCTCGAATAGAGTCTGGTAATCGGTCCTCGTTGCCCCAAAAACCCGTCTCGACCTATTTCCCCCATTCATCGAGCGCCTATGCGCGTCCCCCATTCGACCCGACAGGCACGCTGGCTGTTTTCGTTGTCCAAAATTTCCTGCCTTCCCGTGAACGGATAATTATTCGATCGAGCGGATATCGGCGAGGATTTAATCGAGCGAAAAACTGAGGCTATCGGGTTGCGAGGACGAAGAGGCGGAGGAGGAGGAGGAGGGGAAGAGAGCGTTGAGCAAAAAAGTTGATCATTTCTCCGATGACGTCTCATCGACGCGTGGACGTCGATGACGAGGTTTCTCTGTTTATGCTTGAACAGGCATCCTCGACGCGCATCTACGTATACACGCTCTCGACTCTTCAGCCTTGGCACATATACTCGATCGTGTAGTGGTGCGGTCGCGTGCACGACCTATTGCCACCTATGGCCGTGTATATACTATACGTAGTAGCCAGGGAAGAGATTGGAAGGGCGACGAATGGAGACAAATTCAGGCGAAGGGCATCGTCCTCCTCCTCCTCCTCCTTTTCCTCCTTCTCCTCCTCCTCCTCGTACGGATTCCCGCGGCGTACCGCAACTTTTTTCCCCTCCCCTCCCTACGTTCCCATGCATCCCGTGAATTACGCAACGGGCAAAAGCGGCCGTTTTCATTATTATTTGTCGCCGATTCGTCGCGCTGAATGTAGGCCGGTCGTTTCTCTCGCAACCCGCGTGCTACGTCGGACCGGTGGCCATGGGTTTTTTAAAGGAAATTATCACGGGCCGACGCGGTCCTCCACGCGAAATTGCAAAATAGCCAAGGCGAATGTTCACGGTCGGAGAAATCCGAATTCCAGGAACGTTCTCGTCGTGGTTAAAAGGAAAA